AGAGATGCTGAAAACTCTAGGTGAACACATGGTTGGAACGGTAGACAACATAGGAGAGACACTAGAACACCTTTCTAAAGAGTTGGAAGGGAGAAGGTTTCTTCTTGCTCTTGATGATGTTTGAAATGAAAATGTTGACAAGTGGGATGGATTGAAGAATTGTTTGTTAAAAGTTAGTGGAAGTAATGGGAGTGCTGTTCTTGTTACAACTCGTAGCGGGCATGCGGCATCCATAAAGCTCTACAATCTGCAAACTTTAAGACACATTAAGTGCACATTTCTTCATAGAAATATGCAAGATTTACTTGGCCTGAGGCATATTTGTTTCACTTATCGTCACCAGATGCCAGTTAAGGTAGGGCGCTTGACTTCCTCTTCAAACATTGCCAGTCTTTGTTGTGTGGAAAGACAGTGATAGTACAGTTCAAGAACTGGAATACTTAAATGGCCTAAGAGGACAATTGTCGACATACAATCTTCAGGAGGTGAAAGACAAAAAAGAAGCCGAGAAAGCAGACTTACGAGGAAAAACAAAGATTTACGAATTGGAATTTGTATGGAGATCAAGAAGAAAATGCTTCAAGAATGACGAGGAAGTTCTGGAGGCCCTTCAGCCTCACTCCAACTTAGAAAGCTTAAAGATTGAACACTACGGAGGTGAAAAGCTGCCATCCTGGCTATTGATGGAAATCCCTATTCATGGTGATTCCTCGCTAGTCAATAGTTTGCTGAATCTGAAATTGATAGACTGCAAGAGGTGCGAATTGCCAATGCTTGGACATTTCCTCGTCTTAAAAGTCTTGAGATAGATGGGCTGGATAATTTAAGAGCTACCGACATGGAGTTTTACCGAAGCACTGGATTCAGTGAAACAATGGCAGTTTTTCCAGCATTAAAAAAACTGTCTCTGCGTCGCATTGTCAATCTAGTTGAATGGATGGTGCCAGCAGTAGGTGAAGGCCATTCAGTTGTGTTTCCTTGACTTGAAGACCTGTCCATCATGTCCTGTACTCTATTGGCAAGTATTTCACTGAATGTTTCATCACTTGCTCAACTGGAAATCTGCTTCTGTGATGAATTGAAATATTTCATGGATTGCAGTGCTAGCACACCTCTTGAAGATTTAACAATAAAACGTTGTCCAAACCTGGAGTCCATTCCATCTGGCGAGTGCCTCAGATCTCTTAAAAGACTCCATAATGAAGGTTGTCACAAGTTAATCTCTCCTCCAATGCCAAGTGTGCAGATCTTCAATTCTCTTGAATATTTAAGACTTGAAGGTTTTCCCGATCTATTTTCTATTCCAGGTCTGCAAAACCTCTCTCTTAAAGGTCTGGCAATAAAACTTTGTCCAAACCTCAATGCATTGCTAGTTTGCAAAACCTAACAACTTCTGAAGATTTAAGAATAGAAGTTTGTCCTAATCTGGAGTCCATTCCAAGTGTAGGGGACCTATAATCTCTCAAAACACTCAGGATTCAACGATGTCATAAATTAACTTCACTTCCAACTGGGTTACAGTCCTGCTTGTCTCTGGAAAATCTGTCCATACAATGGTGCATAGAGCTAACCTCTATCCTGATGAGTTGCAAAATTTACGTTCCCTTGTTCAATTAGAGATCACAAAATGTCCAAGCTTGACTTCCTTTCCAGAGGACAGCTTGGAATTGGTTTCATCTAATGTAAATTCTCATTTATTAATTCAAATTCATCTTTGGTTTCCTGGAATACAGTTTTGATACTATGAAACTAGCATTCAAAATTTCCATTATCTAAGTTTTCTCTATATTTTTCCAGAGGGCTGTCTCACAAAAATCATCAAAACTGTCCTAAGGACTCTATCGGGCCCAAAACTTTCTACATGGCGATGTGTCCACTAGATGGAAATGTTTTCAGCTCCAGCAGCCTCAAATTCATATTGGAGGCTAGCAAGGAGAAAGGCCAACAACTTGTTAGTATTCCTAGCAATGGACTGGATAGCCTTTTCCGGTCCATCTCGGACAAACAAGTAGAGGCTGAGCCCTTCTACATTCTAGATTCAGGGGTTGTCGCAAGACTCGTGGAGAAATGGAAGCAGAACATGTCCAATGTAAAACCTTTCTTCGTTTATAAGTGCAATAACGAGCCTGCATTGATTGTGCTACTAGGGATGAGATTAAATCCATACTAGGCCATGGTGTTAGAGCTGATAAGATTGTTTATGCTAATCCATGCAAGGCTGAGTCTCATATCCAGTATGCAGCAAGTGTTGGAGTGCGACTCACTACCTTTGATTCTAAAGAAGTCAACAAGATCAAAAAGTGGCATCCAAAATGTGGACTGCTGCAACGACTTGAAGTCAACGATGAGACTTCCTGGCGTCAGCTGGGAACCAAATTTGATGCTTTCCCTAAGGAGATGGTGCCGCTGCTCCAACATGCACGCCAAGCAGGCATGAAAGTAGCTGGAGTCTCCTTTCACGTAGGTTCTAAAGCATCAACAGCCTAAACCTATCGTGATCAATAGTTGCAGCAAGATCTGCGTTTGATACAGTCGCCCAGCACAATATGCCCCCCACGAACATAATTAACGTTGGTGGAGGTTTTAAAGCAAACCCATTATCTGATGAGATTGGTGCCACAGTTATTGATGCAATCCAGGAATTTTTCCCAGACGATAAATCCTTTGAAGAGATTGCAGAGCCCAGAAGGTACTTTTGTGAAACTGCATTCATTCTAGTTGCTGATGTGCTTGGCAAACGAGTGAGAGGAGATAAAAGATAGTATTGGATTGATGATGGGATTTATTGTTCATTTAACTTTCCGGCCTATGATCGATCCTCTGTGTTGCTAAAACCAATAATAAGAAATCCTCAAGGTGGTGGTATGGTTTTTGCATCAACAGTGTTGAACCTAATTGTGATTCACAAGACGTTCTGGCAAGAGATTGGAAATTGCCAGAGCTTCAACGATTTGATCTTATTCTACAACATGGGTGCGTACACAACCTCTGCTGGAACCAAGTTCAACTCTTTTGGTGTGCCTCTTTATCTTGCATATTCAGCTCAAAACTGAAGCAGGAGAATATGCCAACCTTGAGTTTGAGGGTCTCATATCCCCTTTTATTTATTTTCCTTTTTATATTTTTCTTTTCTTTGCCCTCACTAATTTGTTTTTCACAGAAAAAAAAGATTTTTGAATGAGAAGAAAGAAAAGAAAAAACTGAAGAAAAAAATAAAGGGAAAAATCTAAAAAGGAAAAAAAAATATTAAAAAAGGAAGATATTCCTTAATTTTAATAGCAGGCCTAAAAATTAAATCCTAACATTATAAATGGATTGCTCCCATCAGTTGAAAAAGACACACAAAAGCTCTCGTCCACCAAGAAATCAGATTTTTTACAATAATTAATACACCTAAAAATTAAGAGTAAAAAATAAAATTGTTAACCATGGTTTAATTAATTTTAAGAGGTTGATTTGATAATTAAAAAAAAAACATGTTTTTTTAAAATTTTAAAATTTAAATTAAGGTTGTTAAAATTACAAGTTGACTTGTAAAATCATACAAGTCAATATACTTATAGCGTAAAATTACATAAAAATTAAAAAATAATAAAATTAAATCAAAATATATAAAAACATGTCAAATCAATTTAGTTAAACTATAACTTTACAATTGATTTTATGATTTTATATTAATTTCAAATTTTTCTTTTACTCATTGCATACTTTTAGGGAGACTCACTAACGCATGGTTTTGTATCTATATTCTTTTTTCAATTAATAGTTCAAAGATAAAGTGTATAGTATTTTTTAAATCCTTCCTAATAAATAAAAAATTATTTATTACATGACAAGGTTTTGAAAATTCTCAATCTATAAGGATTTTTTTACAAATAAGAGTGACAAATCATATTTTAAAATCTAATTTATCATGTGTTTGTGCCTAAATACTATAGTTTTTTTTAACAAGTTTATAACATTATTATTTCTCTATAGAAAATCTCATAATATATATATATATATATATATGATCTAACAAGGAACTAGATTTAAAGACGAAAAAATAAAACTCATACTTTAAATTGTTTAAATTGTTTGATTTATTAGTTTTAGCTTATAAAAAGCTTATAATTTTTTATTGATTTACTTGTTCATATTCATGGTGTGTAAAATAATCTTATAAAAAGCATAATAATATCTAAAAATAATGTATTATTTATTAAAGCAAAAGGCATTACATAAGCTAAAACTAACACTATAAATGGTTACATATTTGGAGTGAGTAACCAGTGTTAGCCAATAAAAAACATATTTATAAAAATATAATTGTTTTTAATATTTTTTTTAGACACAAAGTCTTACTAACCACTTTTTCTTTTTGAATCTTCCATGGTAAGATTTTTTTATGTAATAAAAAAGCACAGCACATGTTTGATGATGAAATTGCTTATTTGTATGAGAAAAAAATTTGCTTTTATGTTTTCATAATTTAAATTTACATTATATTTTTTTGTATTGTGTCCAAAAAAAAAAACATTAACAACCTTGATTCAAACTTTAAATTTAACATTCGGAAAAAATATTAATTTTTTTTAAACACACCGATTAATCAATACAAAAATTATTTTTAAAATATTTAAAAATAAGGTTTTATTTTAATTTACATGTAAGATATGTACGAGATACTATTCGATGCTTTCAATAATAAAAAGAAAAATAAAGAAAACAATTCACCGCGTAGGGGTGGGATGGAGCGGCAAGCAATGGAGTCGTGTTTGCGCGTGACCGACATGCCTTTATTCTTAGCGGGTGAGACAGACAATCTAGCTGTTAATAATGGCTGTCACCCAAGAAAGAAAATTATATATGTCGAACTCTATAAATAAAAGACAAGACATCTCCATCATGTTCTAGACACAACACCAAAGCCAAAGCAATCAAAACCTTAATAGCTCTCGTCTTCCTTGTCAGTTCCTGCCTTAAAATTTGTTACTTTCAGAAAAAATTAAACTAAGGTACAGATTCTTGGCTTCTTCTTTTACGTTTCTTGTGTTTGTGTGTGTAATTCCACGTATCAACCTGAAACTTCTAGCAGGTATATATCTCTTTTTTCTTCATAATTTATCAATATATTATATTAGATTTTTATAGGTTGTTCCTAGATTTCTTCTTCCGGCTGATCTGTTGCTTCTTGATTTGTTGGGCTTACAAGATTCTCTTCTTGCCATCTTGTTTCTGTGATATTAGTCATTTTGTGATTGTGGAGTGTTTTGAGAGAAATCATCCATACGGGTTATTCTCTGTGTTAGGTAATTGAATAGCTCTTGGCATGGACTAGGATCTCCATTTTCGTCTCATATTTTGACAATGCTTTTTCTTTAATCCTTCCAGATGGGAGAATAATGTTTTGATCTTTGGCCTATGCGATTATAGTTGGAATCTTTTGGGATCTCTGTATGCATATGTTTGTCTTTTGCAATGGAGACATATAAAACATCAATGACATTTTTTAGGTCAATACATAAATTGAAGAGCTTTTTATGTATCAACAATTTGTTCATTTTGAAGCTGTGAGCAAGTAAATTGAGATGTTAATGACATTTGGAATGGGCTGTGGGATTGCGTAGAAATGGAGGGATTCTGCAATGAAAATTGAAAAGAAATGAAATAATTTGAAAATGCCGAAGCATTAACTAGGCATTTTACTATTTACCATGTTCCCTGTGTTTATATTGCTTGCAGCTTTCAAAAATTTGAGAGGATGAGCATCTATAACAGCTTTTCTTTTGTTGGTTAGGAAGGAGGCAGTTTTGGGGGTGGGCATTAAAACTTATGGTTCTACCTAGCTTAGGTTCTGTGCTCTATAGGCTATTCATAATTGCTTCTCATACAGGCATTTGCTTCTGTATTAGTTTCATTTGAATATTCATGTCAGAATTTCTCGTTGCTTATTTTTAACAATTGGTACCTTTTTAACTAATTGGTATGCCACTTTCTTCAGGAAATTTGAGCTTAAGCGAGAGAGGATCTACATTTCAATTTCAATTTTTCACCAAGAATCCTGAGATGGAAGATACATCTGAATCTGTCATTTCTGCTGCTGGGGTGCATGAAAAGGTTGTGAAGGAGGAAATCCATCTGAAAGTCAAGAGCATGGATAAAGAACCCAATGACGAGAAGGGAGCTGCGGTGGAAGCTGAATTGAAGGCCAAATCGGTAGAAAAGGAAAAGCCAAAGGAGAAAGAGCAGCATAAAGAGAAAGACAATGAGAAATCAGAGAAAAAGGAGAAACATAAGAAGAAGGATGTAGATGAGGTGGGGGAGAAGAAAAGGAAAGATAAGAAGAAGGGTGAAGAGCAGGAGAAGCAACCGAAAGAGAAGGACAAAGAGAAGGAGAAGAAAGGAAAGGAAGGAGAGGCTAAGAAAAAGGAAGAGAAAAAGAATAAGAAAGACAAGGAAAAAAATAAGAAGAAAGATGATGAGGCTTTAGGATATGACAAGGAGGATAAGAAGAACAATAAAGAAGAGAAGAAGATAAAAGATCATGGGGTTTCAAGGGATGAACAGGAGGATCAGAAAGAAGAGAAGAAAAAGAAGGATAAAAAAGAGAAGAAGAAAGACGAGGATGAAGATTTGAAGGATACAAAAAAAGTAATCGAGGAGTACAAAGATCAAGGTTTGAGTGTTGAGGATGAGGATAAGAAAAGTGAAGGCAAGGAAGATAAGAAAGGAAAAGAGAAGAAGGTCAAAGATAAAGGGAAGAAGATTGATGAAGAATCTAAGGAAGAAACAAAAAAGGACAATGATGGTAAAAAGAACAAAAAAGAGGGGGAAGTGAAGGAAAAGAAAAAAGAGAAGAAGAGCAAAGATGAGATTAACGACGAAAAAGATGATGAAAATGAGGGGAAAGAAGAAAACAAGAAGGATAAGGAGAAGAAAGAGAAAAATCACAAGGATGGAGTAGATGATGACATAAAAGATGCAGATGAAAAGAAAGAAGAGAAGAAGAAGAGCAAGAAGAAGAAGGACTAGGAAGAAAGAGTAGAAAGTATTGGTAAATATGTTTTTTAGTCAATCGGTTTGTTACATTTGGCTTTAATTTTATTCATATAAAATATATTTATTATTAATAAAATATTTTTAAATATTTATTTATATTAATTAATGAATCTAAAGTAAAAATAAAATTCATAAAATAAAAATATTTTGCAACTAAAATTGTAAAGTTGCTATAATTATGAGTTTTTAATTATATCAAAATATTGATATTAAAATTGAACATTAATTAGAGTTGTTGAGATTGATTTATATTATATTTCTTTTTTTTATAAAAGAAAATAGATACTCTTATAAATCGAGATATAATCAATACTTAGAACTAATAGGCAGATGCATGATAGATGACATGTACGCTAAACTAACCAGTAAGAAAATTCTATATGAAGAGATCATTTATGTCTATAAAAAATCTCTCGTGATAGTTATTTAAGTGATCATTGGATTTAAAATTATTAAGTTATCTTATATATCAAATGTTATACTTTAATACTAACCATACATTGTCATAATAAAAAATAACAAACGAGTATGTATTGAGTATATATAAGTTATATAAAAATATTTGAATAATTAAACAATGATTATATAAGTTATATAAAAATATTTGAATAATTAAACAATGATTATATAAGTTATATAAAAATATTTGAATAATTAAAAAATGATTCATCATCTTGTTTATTTTTAAATATTATTGATTGTGAAATCCTTAGGTAAGATAGAATAAATTTTGAAAAAAGTTTTAAAATCTTATTCAAATAATCAATGACTATAATATTAAAAACTAACATGATTTGACAAAATAAACATGCTTCATACTAAAATGTTTAAATCGAAACATCTTGATAAAAAAAAATAATTACTTTAATAAACTAATCTGTGAAATGTTAAGTTAAATCACTTATAACTTTTATAATATTTAAGGGATTATGATAAGTTGCTAGATATTGTACATAATTTTTAAATATAAATAAATAAATTATTAAATTGATAATAAATTACATTGTTTAACCTATTTAATCTTTATTTATGATTATGATTTATATTTTGGTCGACTTATTATGAAACTTAATGAGTCACACATATAAGAATAGTTGGTTAAAAATTAAAAAAAATAATTAATCAAGTGTAATTTGATTATAAATAAATTTTAAAAATTAAAAATTATAATATAATCAATATAAAGGATTACAATTCTATACATAGAAACAATGAAGTAAGAATTTAATTGAATAAATTTATAAATTTATCCTAAAATAATATATGTAATATTATTTGAGGGAAAAATTAATATTTTTATTTATAAATTTTTTAGGTTTTTCTTATAAATAAAAAAATTGCTTCTTATTTCCAAAAAATAAAAAGAAATGTGAGAAAAGTATAATATATAAAAATTTAAAACACAAAAGAAAAGAGTTAGCACTCTAAAATATAATAATTTTTCTCTCCTCAAAGTGTACAAGAGACTTTTCATTGGTGATTCGTGTGAATTATTATTAGAAATTAGATATTTGGAAAGCTTGTAGATAACAATAACTTAGCTTTCAAGCAAATATTTATATAAATCCTAAATAACTTTAAATTTATATAAAATAATATATAATTTTTAAATCTAATATTTAAATTGAAAAGAACATATAATTTTTATATAAATCCTAAATAACTTTAAATCTATATAATATAACCCTTGAAATTCTATAAATTTTTTCTATGTGTATATATTTCAGGAGACTAAACACAAAGAACTCAGGGATGAAGCTAGTTAGTCAAGGTGTGAGGCTGAGTTTACCACCAGGGAAATTGACATAAATAAGGACTCACAAGATGAAGAACAGAAGAAAGATAAGACACAAAAAGGTAAGGAGACAGAAAGAAAATGATAAGAAGGAGAGGACTGATAAAAAAGAAAACCCGATGAGAAGGACAAGAGCAGAGACGTTGACAAGCTGAACAGAAGTTAGAGAAGATCAATGGAAAAATAGAAGCTCTTCTGAGAAAAAAGGTGAAATTGAGGCAGATAAAAGAAGCCGAGAGTGGGAACAAAAATGTTCCTGAGAAAGAAAAAGATGCCCCAAAGCCTGGTGCGGAGTAATCCCTTTTGGGGAACAGCATCGTTCTATAGTTTTTTTGCGAGTATGATCCTTTTCCATTGTAATTATATGTTTCTTTTCATATAACTTTAGATTAATGAGAATAGAATGTGAATTACTACCACCTTTGATGAATAAAACTACTATGCAGTTTTACTTTTGTTCCATTGCCTCTAATTTCTTTTATCACACGCGCATTTAAAGGAGCCTTCACGTTGCATTTTCTTCATTATTTAGTATCTTCATTCCACTGTTGTTTCATATCATACATCATTTGGATACATCAGTGAAACTATTAACAGTTCATCCTAGGTATTTAACCCTGATATTTTCCTCTTCGTTCCCTGTTTGATAGTGCTCGTTAGTTTTAACATGGCGTGCCAGTGTCCATCTGGCCTGCCGGTTAGACGCGCTGTCCAAACATGATATGGATTGTCCAATGCTGTTAGTTTTAGGAACTGTTATGACAAAAAAAACTTCACATTATGCCTGCAAATTCTTTGGATATCCATTTTTAGCGATAGTTATTCTTGCTGTGGACGTTGTTTTTTAGTGTTCCAGTGTCATCATCATTGAAAGTTTTGCAGAATTTAGTTCACATGTTCTCTCTCCTGCAAAGCTAGTGTCAGAAATGAGGTGTTGAACAAAATCTACCAGTGGCTAAGGCATTCGATGTCTAATTCACGTTTTAAACCGTTCTGTGATCACAAGGTGAATGATTCTGTTCAAGGAGATGTTGCATATAGATCAATGCATTGTCCCGATAGTCTTTGGTAAGTATTTTTCATTTGCACTCTACTTAGGCTTTTTAACAGTAATAACTTTACTTGAGAAAAATAAGACAATGCTTATGTGTGTTTCACTCTCGAAAGCAGCGTCCCAGCAAATTTTAGTGACAAGGATTCTTGATCATTAGGTTTTACAGTATCAGGTTAACCCATTTATCTTGCAGAACCTGCTAGCAACAGAGATTCCTGCAAGGTTATTTTTTGTTAGAATTTGAACTCAGGGCGTGTTGTGTGCCTAACCACAGTCCTTTTACTAGGATTTGAACTGAGGAAGTGGTGTGCTTAATCAGTCCCTGATCCGAATCTTTGTCAGCACACTAAATAAAGACAGAAATTTTGGAATCTTTTTGCTATTTTTCCTTTATTTTTGTGATAATGACCAAACAATATGTAATGTTAATGGCTCTTTATCTACCAGATTTAACAAAATGATGTCTAGATGGTCTTGGTAGGTTTAGTAGTGAGGCCAAATCCAAATGGGAAGAGGGGATCATAATGTCGATCACCAACGTTCATAGGCAGCTGATCAACAGTCTTGAACCATGTTTGTGAAAGCGTGCCAGTGAAACCATAGTCACCAAATAGAACATCAGCAACACCTTGGCCTTCACTTCCAGGGAGCCAGGCAGCAACAAGAGCATCCATCAAGCTTACATATGGTTGGATTACAACAGGACGCCCGGAAATGATGACAGTAGCGCATTTTACAGTTCCACAGACGTTTTGGATCGTGCTTGGACCAGGTTCTGATATTGTCAAGTTCAAGCTGTCTCCAAATGTCTCTGCATATGGCGGCTCTCCTACTACAACGATGGCGTAAGAGAAGTTGTTAGACCTGACGAAGTCTGCATCAGGATTCTCCTTGTACACAACTTCAGTGCTTGGATCAACAGTATTTTTTATGGCGGTTAGGATTGTGGTACCTGCAATTCATTTTTAGTTAACCTCATTAAACGGATTACAGAGCCTAAAGAGAGCTGCCGTCGCCAAGGAATATTTCAGAAAAACCCGCCTAATGACTTTTCGTTCAGATACTGTTTTAGCAGTCACTGATATCGAAAATTTTAGTTTCTTGTTGGGCAATCAGAACAGAACTTGTCAGGTTTTATTCCATTAAAACAGATGGATGCTATTAGTAGAATCTGAACTGGGGGATGAAATGAGAATGTACCACTAGTGAGGTTGTTGCCACCGACTCCCTGCCACTCAATTGTCCATCCACCACATTGATAACCGAGATTATCTGCATGACTGCCTGCAACAAGTATTTTTGTTGCTTTTTTAGGAAGGGGTAGCAATGGCTCAGCAGCAGATTCGCCATTCTTTAGCAGCACAAGTGATTTCCTCACAGCTTCCCTAGCCAATTCTCTGTGCTCCTGTTATCATTACATAATATTTTTAAGTTCATTTCTATCTTCTTGTTGCTAATTATACAAGGCAGAGAATATCTTAGTTTAGGTAATAAACCTGGCTACCAAGCTCATTGACTAGACTATTATCAGCCAGGGGGTTCTCAAAAAGACCCATCGTAAATTTAACTCGCAAAATTCTCTTCACTGCATCATCGATTCGGCTCATGGGGACGACTTCATTTTTCACGTGGGATGTGAGGCCATCAATAAACTCTTTGTAGTTGTTTGGAACCATGATCTGCAGCATGCGATTTCCAGAACAAGTAATAGAATTCTAAAGCACAAGATAATGAATTATACTGTTGAAGGAAAAAACCATTGATAAGAATTACCATGTCAATTCCAGCGCTGATTCCTGCTTGAATGGAATATGAGTAGTTACCATGGGGTGGAGAAGTGATCCTATCAATACCCTCCCAATCTGAGATGACAAAACCCTGAGGCAATCAATAGGCATTAGCACACATCTCTTGGATTTTTATTCTCAAATGGTTTAAGATGGGAAACCCTAAGCCAAGGAAATCACTTTACCCTGAAACGAAGAATGTTCTTGAGAAATCCAGTGACCATGTCACGGTTGGCATGCATCTTAACTCCATTCCAGCTCGAGTAAGAAACCATAACAGTGGACACACCCTTGATAATTGAGTTATAGTAGCCTGGCATGTGGATGCTAAGCAAACCGTGTCTGCTGATCTGTGTATTGTTCTCATTGATGCCTTTTGTTGTTCCACCATCACCCACAAAGTGCTTGGCACAAGCAGCAACTTTTGTTCTGTGAGAAGCCCCCAGATCATCAGGATTCAGGAATTAACAAATATTAGAGTGAATTCATCCAAAGATTTTACAGGAACTATGAAATCGATTACTATGAATAAGATTCTCTCCCCTTAATGATGTGTTTTCTATTA